CCTCGTTGCTCTGCTCTGGACCTGCTCCAGCCCCTCAATGTCCCTCCTGAGCTGAGAGACCCAGAACTGAGCACAGGATTCCAGGAGCCCAGGGCAGAATCACCTCCTGCTCCTGCTGAGCACTCTGTCCCTGCTCCAGGCCAGGTGACATTGGCCTTATGGAGCCACTACAGGGCAGCACAACCATCTCCAGCCCCTTCGTGCCTCAGTTTACCTGCACAGAGCTGTCACAGCCCGGGGGGGTGAGCTGGGGTGCACCTGGAGCACCCACCTGGAGCACCCCCACACCCTGTGTAGGACACCCCACGCTCTTCTCCCTGCAGGACACTGTTGGAAGCAGAGAGCACTCGCCTGCAAATGCCAACTGGGGAATACAGACTGGCAAACGGCTTGAGAGGTAAGGGACCCTGCGGTGCCAACCCTGGCACTGCCACCGCGTCCCTCCCCCGGGAGCTTGGGGGGCTAAGCTCGGATATAGACACACTTTCCTTGATTTTCCTGGCAGCTTTTCCTTAGTCGCGATAGGAAGGTGTGAACAGCGCCCGGGGGCTCCTGCTAATCACAGCCTAGATAAGATTTATCTGCTTTTTCACCTCTGTTTTTAATCCCTTCCCCTAGCTGGGAGGGTAGGAGCGGCTCTGCTGCCCAGCGTGATGTGCTAACGAGCTGAGCATTTCCTTTTTCCTCACCGAAAAAACAAACCCAAACCAACAAACCCAAGGGAAGCTGTCGCCGGCACTTTCCCCAGCAGCAGGAGCTGCCTGGCTGCAGCTGGCACAGCATTGTTCGGCCTGACGCCGGATCCCTCGGGAATACTCCGGAGTCTGAGGAATTTCCCACTTTCCTTGAAGAGGTTGGGTAAAAATAGGACAGGGAGAGGCGAGAGGGGTAGGGCAGGGCTGGGGGAGCCTTTCTGCTCCCCCCTCACGGCTCTGCCCCTCACTCTTTGCAGATCTCAAGCTGGAGGTGAGCAGCAGCAGCAAACTGGTCCCAGTAAGCCCCGAGCCCAGGAGGTTGCTGCCACGGGATCACTGTGCCAGCCCCTCCATCCTCCCCAGGGCAGAGGGGAGGGGGCAGCCAGCAAAGCCCCCGAGTGATGCTCTGACACCCAAAAGGCAGAGCCCTGGTGCCAGGGAGCTCCAGAAATTCAGCTCAGTCCTTCATGCCACAGCAGCACCAGCTGCTGGCAGGGCCAAGGGCTCAGGTGTCCTCAGCTGCTCCACGCCAAGCTCCTCACAGCCTGGCAAAGCTGCCCCTCCTCTCTCCCCAGAGCCCCCCAGTCCTCCAGGGAGCACAGGGGGAGAGGGTCCTGCCTGGCCTGGGGGAGCTGTGGGGGTGCTGAGCCTGGGGATGGAGCATCCTCTGTCCAGATCTACACCAGAGAGCCACAATGCCAGTGTGAACCCCCTGGCAGCAGTGCCCACCCACAGCCTGCAGTTCCCAGCCCAGCTGGTCAGTGAGGCCCTGGAGGATGCCCTCAAGGAAATGGAAGATGATGCTCAGCCCCAGGAAGATGCCCAAGAAGAGGATGCTCAGCCCCAAGAAGAGGATGTTCAACCCCAAGAAGATGATGCTCATCCCCTAGAAGATGATGCTCAACCCCAAGATGATGCTCAGCCCCTAGAAGATGATGCTCAACCCCAAGATGATGCTCAGCCCCTAGAAGAGGATGTTCAACCCCTAGAAGAGCCCATGCTCAGTGCCACCTGGGCCCCCCTGGATGCCCATGCCCCCAGCCCCATTTTCCCCACAGAGCCTTGTGGAGAGGCTGTGACAGAGGGGACAGGGGAAGAACAAGAGCCCTCTGAGGGCTCTGGGGATGGTGACAGCCCTGAAGAGGAGGAGAGGGCTGAGGAACCTGTGCTCCAGGGGTTGGGGGTGGAGAGCAGAGCCCTGTGGGACAGAGCTGCATCCCCACTGGGCACAGCTGCTTCCCTGAGTGCTGTGGTGAGCCAGGAAGAGGTGGGAGAGTGGGAGAGCCCAAGGGATGCAGGAGCAGAGGAGGAGGTGCTCTCTGTGCTGAGCCCAAGGGATGCAGGAGCAGAGGAGGAGGTGCTCTCTGTGCTGAGCCCAAGGGATGCAGGAGCAGAGGCCCAGGAAGAGGACATGAGTGTTTCTGGACAGACAGGGACCAGCTTGGAAAAGCCAGAGCAAGGGGAGGACTGGGAAGAAGTCCCATCACACCTCTCAGAGGATGAGGAGGAATCACACAGAGTCTGTGGGGAGGACAGAGAATTCCAGGGAGAAGGAATGGATGTGCGAGGAGAGTCCCCACACAGGGAAGTAGGAGCTGCTTGTGTTGACCTGGTGGAAAGCCACCTGGTTGCACCCACAAAAAGTCACCTGGAAGAGGACCTTGTTGGTGAAGAGCAGGAAAAGTCTGAGCATTGGGAAATGCCAATGGGTGAGACAGATGTGGGTGCAGAGGAGGAAAGGGGACAGGAGCCCTCGAGTGTCCGTGAGGTCACCCCAGCAGAAGAGGCTTCCTCAGGAGCTGAAGAGGATGCTGTGGGAGGGGAGGACATGGGCAGAGTGAAAGATGGTGAGGGAGACAAGGGAGAGGCCAGCAGGGAAGTGCTGGGAGGAGAGGACCTTGTGGCAGGAGAGGACCCTGAGGCAGAAGAAGATCCTGAGGCAGGAGAGGACCCTGAGGAAGATCCTGAGGCAGGAGAGGATGCTCAGGCAGGAGAAGACCTTGAGGTAGGGGAGGACTCTGAGGTAGGAGAAGACCCCAAGGCAGGAGAGGACTCTGAGGTAGAAGAAGACCCCAAGGCAGGGGAGGATTCTAGGGCAGGAGAGGATCCTGAGGCAGGAGAGGATTCTAGGACAGAATACCCCAAGGCAGGAGAGGAACCTGAGGCAGGAGAGGACCCCAAGGCAGAAGAGGACCCTGAGGCAGGAGAGGCTGTGGGAGGTGCTCCCCCAGGGGGGGAGAGCAAAGCCCCAGAGGAGCCTGAGGAACTGCAGGAAAGCAGCTCTGCGGAAGAGGGAGGGGACCAGGAGGAGCTGGAGGTGGGAGAGGAGCCCTGGGGCAGGAAGGATGATGACAACATCCAAAAGCCCAGTCCAGAGGACTGGGAGGGGACAGCAGGATGATGACAACATCCAAAAGCCCAGTCCAGAGGACTGGGAGGTGACAGCAGAGGACACAGAGGAGCCTTTGAGGACAGAAGAGCCAGCCTGGGCAGATGACACCCCAAGCAGCACAGGAAGGCTGGAAAGTGATGAGAGAGATGGCACATCACCAGCAGAGCTGGAGGAAGCCCAGGAAGATGATGAAGAGGATGCCAAGAGCCTGGGGATGAGCCAGCAGCAACCACTGCCAGAGTCTGAGCCAGCTCCGGAGCTGGCACGGGAGGAGCAGGAGGACACCCTGGGGCAGCCTGGCCCACACCTCCCCAGTGCCCCTGGGCAAGGGGACAGCCAGGAGCTGGCTGAGGCTCTGGAGGAGGATGCTGCTGGTGGGTTGGGACAGTGGGAGAGCAGCAGCCTCTTGGCACTGCAGCAGGTGCCAGGGGATGGCACAGAGAGTGGGGTGTGGGCAGAGGAGGATGCTGCAGGGTCGGGAGAGCTGGAGCTGGCACCAGGCACTGGCAGGAGGGTGGAGCTGGAGGACACACTGCCTGACAGCACACCCTTACACCTCTACCAAGGGGAGGTGCTGGCTGAGGGTGCTGCCAGCCAAACCCCTCCAGAGGCTGAGGAGCACATGGACACAGCTCCTGTGTCCCTAACAGCTCCTCAGGGTGAAGGATGGCTGGAAGGGAGGGACAAACCACCAAGCCCCACCTGGTTAGAGAGCCCCAAAGAGGAGGCAGGGGTGGAGGTGGCCCCTGCAGCAGAGAGTGCTGAGGAGGAGGAAGGCTACTTCATGGTCTCTGCTCCCACCCAAGAGGTGTCCAGCTCAGAGGAAGCTGAGATCTCTGAGGACTTTGAAGAAATTAAAGTTGAAGCAACTGAAGGCAACCAAGGTGATCTGGGAGCTCCCAGAGAAGCATCTCCAGTGCCAGAGGGTGAAGAGCACCTCGAGGGGTTTGTAGGGGAAGCAGATGAAGACATTGAGATGTCAATGGAAGAACCTGAGATGCCAAAGGATGAGGATGATACTGCTGAGCTGGAGGAAGGCCCAGCTGTGCCAGAAGCAGTGCCCAGCACGGATGAACCACCCCAGGGTGTCACAGGCACCAGAGCACAGGAGGAACCAGAGGGTTTGGCTGCTGAATCAGATGAGGAGCTTGACAGCACAGCTGAGCTGGAGAGTGATGCCAGCAGAGCCACAACACTCCCAGGCTGCAGCATGGGCTTGGTAGGGCAGGAGGAAGAGGAGGAAGAGGAGCTCAGCACAGCTCACCCTGACACAGCCAAGACCATTCCTCCAGCAGAGCTCCAAGCCCAAGCAATGCCTGAGCAAGCAGAGCAACCACCAGATGAGCAACCACCAGATGAGCAACCACCAGATGAGCAACCACCAGATGATCAGCCATCCATGGAGGAGGAAGCAGTGGACAGTGACATCCCTCCCTCAGCCAGGGAGGAGCAGCCCCCCCAGGCCAACCCACCTCAGCTGAGCTCCACACTGGAGCAGGAAGATTTTCCAGAGGTGATTCATGAAACCCCTGGAGCAGCTTCTTTCCCTGCAGAGGTCCCAGTGGAGGTCACCAAAGACTCAGATATTCTGGGAGTAGTGGATCAGGACCAGGAGCTGGTGAAGGGAGGGCAGCAGGGGCCTGGCAGGACTGAGCTCCCCAGGGATGCTGAGGAAGACTCTCCACCTGCCTCGTCCAGCGAGGAGGAGCCGACGGTGCAGGAGGCACCAGCAGATGCAGCACCAGAAGGTCCAGTTGGGGCAGAGAATGGGCTGCACCGGGAGGCCAGTCTGGAGGACCTGAGTGAGTTCACTGAGGAGGTGCTGAATGGCATTGCCAACACGGCCCAGGAGATCCCCACAGAGACCACAGAGCCCTCCGTGGTGATGC